TGGTTTGGCGTGCGCGGGCTTTTCGGAGGACAAAGAAGAAGGCTTATATAAGATGATTGCTATTTTTAAAATGGCTCCCAACAATACATTAACCAAAACCCACAGAATATACAATGCAATGTGTGAGCCCTAATGTAAACTATGGACTTTAATAATAACAAATTAATATTGGCTCTTCAATTGAAATAAATGTACCACAGCAACACAAGGTGGCAATAATAGAAAATCTGAAGAGGTGGTGGTGGAGATGAGGTAGTATCCAGTCAATTTTTTCTATAAACCTAAAATTGCCTTGAAAAAATAAAGTTTTTTTTTTTTTTATAAAGAAGGTACCCAAGATCATGTAGCTCAGGCAGGGAGAGCAAAGTACAGAGTTCTCTAGAGAATGATGCTCATTCTAAAAAGGAGAAATCAGAAACTCTTTGTTCAGAGTAAAAAAGTAAGGTAGGCCGGCTTTCCCAGTTCACATGCTACAGCATCAGAGATGGTTGCATAAACGAATGAAGGGTTCCCAGGACATTTTTGCTCCTGTACTGTAGAACAGAGAACATCTTTAAGAAGCACACCTACAGCCACCCAATTCTGTCAGCTGAAGAGAAGGGAAATTTAAGCCAATTCTTGCACACATGAAACATCAGAACTCATACCCAGACTGACTTCTTGTCTTCTGCACACATTCTTCTGGTCCTTCCCTTCAGCCTTCTGATTCAGAAAGAAACTCCCTCGTACCAGGACAAACAATTCTCAAAAAGGAACCAACACAGAATCCATTCAAGAATACAGCAAGAACAATGGTGGAATGGGATAGGGAAAAGCAAATGACAAAAATCCATGCTGGAGGAGCATACAAATCTGTGAGCTTGGCCCAAAACTCAATAACTTAATGAAATCATCACTTCTGTAGAAAAAAATTTAAATAACTTAATACAAAGACACAAGAGCTCAAGAGATTAATAATACGATAATACAAGGAGGTGGAAAATGGGTACATCTAACTCAACAAACAAGAAGATGAGACTATTCAGTGGAGAAAGACACAATCAAGACCACAAAGTTTAAAAGAGAAATTACCGAAAACATAGCAAAGTGTTTTAGAAATGAAACACCTTTTTTTAACTGGAATTTTTATATTGACATATTTTAACTTTTATGTCCTATAAGTGGTTCCCCAAACCATTTTTAAACAAATTACACTATAAATATGACATAGACTTCAGCTGAAAAAGAATCACTTTATCCCCTAAAGAAATAAGCCTAAATTCAAACTCTGAAATTGATTTAGAATAAAGCAATTTAAATGTTAAAAAAATTAAGCAAAAACAGAATAAGGTCAAAGGCATTGTTTTTTTAAAAAGCTTTAGTGAAAAAACAACAGATATGGAAACCTGATAAAAGAGACCCTGGATAGACATCACCTATTTTTCCAAAGTTGAGAACAACCAAACACATGGAACAGAAAAAAATCATAGTTAAAATCTGAGAAAACATTAATATTCTCCATTAAGACCTGGAACCATGTGTGTACAGGGAAATGCTGCCCAACTCAATACCAATTAAGGCCTAGAAAAGTAATAACCCTCCAAAAAAAAGACCATTTTTTTTTACAATTGTGCTCAGTGAACAGCAGCTTCTTACCAGAGCATACAACATCATTCTTACAGCTTACTAGATTCTTCCCAAGCATGCACAACAGTCTTCAGAAACATAAATCATATTACACCCTGACTAAACTATTTCAATGACTTTCCATTGCAAATATGACAAAATCCTTCCAAGGCCTGATATTAACTGACTTTTCCTACGTTTGTCTCCTGTATGAATCACTCTCCCTCTCACTCAGCACACTCTGGTCACATATGACTTCCTTTCTGGTTCCTCAAATATGCCAATACTGATTGTGATCTGCCTCTGGACCTTTGCACGTGGCTCTTCCCTGACTGGAGTGTTCTTCCCCCACTCTTTTCTATATCTTACTCTTTCTCATTGCTCAGGTCTTAACTCTCATCTTTTCTAAAGTAGTGTTTCCTCTCATAATCAATCATTATATCATTTTCCTTATTTTCTTTTTAGTCTCTTTTAGAATGTTTCATGAGAGAGGACCATTCTCTCTTTTTCATTTTCTAACTATGTTGTAGGGTGATAATAATTGTATAATCCTTACACTGCATGATGTTTAGCTCTATAATGGCTAAAAAGGTATTTTAGTCTATTGCAAATAGGATTTTTACATCAGAAATGGAATTGATATGTTCTATTTAATAATTATTAACAGAAAGCTGAGCCTTTATCTTCTCTCCTATTTGTAGCACACTCTGGTTGTTACCACACAATGTTTGTGAATGATGATGGAAATATTCTCTTTTCTGAACCAATAGACATACAACACACACAAATACACACACATTTATTTTAAGGAATTGGCGATGAAATTGGTGATTATTGGGGCTGGCAAGTCTGAAATTTGCAAGGCAGACTGGCAGGCTGAAAATTCTGGAAGGAGTCAGTGTTGCAGTCTTAATTCTGAAAGCAGCCTGGAAGCAGGATTCCTCTTTGAGGGACCTCTGTCAATTTATCAAAACCTTCAGCTGATTGGATGAGGCCCACCCATATTTTGGATGGTAATCTGCTTTACTCAAAGTCTACTGATCTAAATGTTAATCACATATAAAAAATCCTTTCACAGTGACATCTAGTTTGGTATTTGACCAAACAACTGGCCACCATAGCCTATCCATCTTGACACATACAATTAAACATCACCGAGGTAGTCGCTGTTTTTTCAAGATTCCCCTTTTAAGTTATACAATAGCATATTGCATGCTTTCCTTTTAACATGTTTTCTTATTTCTGTCTCCACTAAATAACCCATATCATCCTCCCAGATATGATATGCTCTTTCCTTCTCAATAAATAACCTCATGTGTCATGACTAAGGAATGGCAACCTCCTGTGTACCACTTCTCCATGTAAACTGTCATTTTCATATGCTGATTTTGTCAGGTTGGATAATTCATCTTGGATAATTTATGAGTTTAGGACATACAGCCTAAAGTCATCAATGTCAAATTCACTGTGGAAGAATTGGCAACCACAGTCATGTGCCTGCCATTAGATTAGCTGACAAAACAAGGCCACGGTGGAATGCTGGGAGCACAGTGACATCACAGGATCACACCACAATGATTCCACTTGTCCTGCTCTGTGGTTGTATTTGATCACTGTATAAGAGATCATAGAAATGGCATAATCTAAAGTAGTGAGATTTTTCAAGCCATGTAGTTTAGTGACTTGTGAAATGGGCTAAGGAATCTAATTTCAAATGGGTAAAAAGAAAAAAATAACCCATTTTGCTTTAATTTTCTATGTCAGTGTTTTAAAGGTAAATCAGAATCATCCAAATTTTTTATTCGAAAGAAAGTTAAAAATAATATGGAGTAAGTATTAATCAGTTTTAGCACCCAACTCTGAATCTTTTAAAATCTTTTAAAATCTTCATATGTAGCTTTGTTACTCCAACACTTAAGTTATATTTTTAATAAGGTATATCATATATTTTCATGCTTAACTAATACCACGAAAAATTAAATATTAGCAAATGACTGTCTCCTACATGTTTCTAGATAACAGCAGCAAGTATGGGAAGTCATTTTTAAAATATGAAGGTTTACTTTTCTTTTTTTTTTGAGTTGGAGTCTCACTCTGTCACCCAGACTGGAGTGCAGTGGCCACTCCCGGCCACCGCAGCCACAACCTGCAGGGCTCCGGTGATCCTTCCGCCTCAGCCTTCCGAGTAGTTGGAACTACAGGCGCGCGCTACCACACCCAGCTCATTTTGATTTATTGTAGAGATGAGGTCTCACCAACTTGCCCAGGCGGGTCTCGAACCCGCGGGCTCAGGCAATCCACTCACCTCAGCCTCCCAAAGGCGCGGGATTACAGGCTGAGCCACCAAGCCCGGCTTATTTTTCTTTTTTAATACATTTTTTATTTTAAATATGTGAGGTACAATTCAGGGTTAGGTATACAATGTTCATTATGTAGGTACCCTGCAAAGTTGCTGCAAAGTTCATAATTTTGTCCTTCTTTACAGCTGTGTAATATTCCATCATGTATATATACCACATTTTTTTATCCAGTCCTTTTTTGATGGGCAGCACAGTTGGTTCCATGTTTTTGTTATTTTAAATAATGCTACAATAAACATGCACATACTGTAGGCATCTTTTTCATAGAGTGATTTGAGCTCCTCCGTGTATATTCCCAGTAGGGGACTGTAGAGTTGTAGGGGAGGTTGATTTTTAGATCTTTTAGGAATTGCCACACTGTTTTCCACAGAGGCTGTACTAGTTTACACTCCCACCAACAGTATAGAAGTGTTCCCTTTTCACTGCATCCTCTCCAACTTCTGTTGTTTTTTGAGTTTTTGATGATGACCATCCTGACTGGAGTTAGGTGGTAGCTCAGTGTAGTTTTAATTTGCATTTCTTAGATGATTAGTGAGACTGAGCATTTTTTCCTGTATCTGTTGGCTGCTCGTTTGTCTTATTTTGAGAAGTGTCTACTCATATCTTTTGTCTACTTTGTAATGGGGCTGTTTGGTTTTTTCTTTCAGCACACTTGAGTTCCTTGTAGATTCTAGATATTAGGCCTTTGTGAGATATACAGTTGACAAATATTTGTTCCCAGTCTGTGGGCTATCTCCTCACTCTCTCAGTGGTTTCTTTGGCTTTGCAGAAGCTTCTCAGTTTAATGAGGTCCCACTTGTCTATCTTATCTCTTATGGCATGAGCACTTGGGGTTTTGATCAGGAATTGGTTGCCGGTTCCAATTTCCATAATGGGGTCTCCTGCATTTTCTAAGGTTCTTTTAATTAGACGTTTTATGTTTAGGTCTTTGATTCATTTAGAGTTGATTTTTGTGTATGATGATAGGTAGAGGTCTTGTTTTAATTTTCTGCATGTGGGCAGCCAGTTTTCCCAGCACCATTTACTGAACAGGTTCTCCTCTCTCCAGTGGTTGACGGTGGAGGCCTTGTCGAAGTAGATTTACTTTTCTATGTATTACCTTTGAGTCTCTCTTTGGTCGTATTGGGTGCCTGGGGAGTCTCCTACCTTTTGCCCTTAATTTGTCTCTGCCTTTTTGAGATTGTGTATAACTTGTACCTGAAGCATTAGTACACAGAACCATCTCTGGCTACTTTCCCTCCAGTGACCCATAATCCTTAGGTCTCATTCTATGCAGATATTTACCAAAGCAAATGAAACCCAGGTGTCAAAGCTCGAGTATGCCAAAAAGGGCTCTGAGAGCTTTAATTGGTGCATTGACAAGGAAAGAACTGAGTTGAACCACAGGCAGAGCTGGGTTGTATTCTTCCTGAAGACAGAGCTCACCTGCTCTACAAAACTATGTTAATATTTGGTGGGAGCCAGGCTCGGTGGCTCAGCCTGTAATCTGCACCTTGGGAGGCTGAGGTGAGTGGATTGCCTGAGCCCGCGGGTTCGAGACCAACCTGGGCAAGTGAGACCTCATCTCTCCAATAAATCAAAAAAGGACCCGTGCATGGTAGTGCATGCCTGTAATTGCAGCTACTTGGAAGGTTGAGGTGGAAGGATCACCAGAGCCCAGCAGGTCGAGGCTGCGGTGGCTGGGAGCGGCCACTGCACTCCAGCCTGGTGACAGTGTGAGACTCCAACTCAAAAAGAAAAAAAAAATATTTGGTATGAAGCCTTTCACAGTATCTTGCCAGTTCAGATCCTTAGGAAGTTCTTGATTACTGAAGCTGACCAGACTAAAAATAAGGATGTTTCCTTAGTTCCCTCGTCAGTGGCAGCTATTATTACTGGTCAGCGCTGTCTACTTCATCGACCTGGAGTTTATACAGGAGTGTGTGGCAATGGTTTCAGTGATTGTTTCCACCTCACTTGCTCAGATAAGTTCCTTGGCCAGCAGTTCTAAACTCATCAGATCTCCACCCTCAAGACAGCATTCATTGTGCATTGGAAGTGTTTCTTCCACTTAGGATGGCTGGTTCATCTGAAATGAACTTTCAAAATAAACCATTTATTTTCATTCTTTTTTTCAGCAATTACAGTTTCAATCCCTCTTTTGTCTTTCCACCTTTCCACTCCAGTGGCTTCCTTGATTAGGAATTCAAGGAATTTAAGGAATTCTGTTTATGAATTCTTTTCCCTATTTTTTTTTTTTTTTTTTGAGTTGGAGTCTCACTCTGTCGCCCAGACTGGAGTGCAGTGGCCGCTCCCGGCCACCACAGCCTCGACCTGCTGGGCGCCGGCGATCCTTTCGCCTCAGCCTTCTATTTTTTTAAATGTTTTTAAGTTTTAAATCTCGCGTTCATTTTTGAGAATTTTTTTAAAAATTTCCGTCACTGAAGCAAGGAGTATTTGATGGGACCTAGAAACAGTCAAATCACTGTAGTTTCCAATGTAAAACACATGTGAATTCAACCCAATTTTACGTTGTTTCAACCCTATATTCATTATTAGAAAATATATATTAATGATATGAACAATTGAGATGTCTAGACTGGTATAATTGTATTGAAATGTTTGGGAAGCTGCAAATGCTTAAGTCTATTTGTTCTTCCTTTCAGAAAATGATAAATTTGAGAAATTAAGAGCTTCCCAAATGTTAACACACTATATGTTTTATTTCTTTAAATAGTTCATATTAAGAAATGATCTGAGAGTGAGTTGCTGTATTTTATTATTGATTGATTGATTTATACACTTCAAGGGAGCAGTGGACAGGGCAGTGGTAGAAAAGCTGTCTGCTGATTTGCTATATTTGAAATTCCATTGCAATGATGTTTCCTTGTTAATAGTTTTTCTTCCCTTTTTTCTAATGCTTAGTTTGTGTACATTTTTGTAGAAGACTGCTGGATACCGAAGATGAACTTAGTGACATTCAGACTGACTCAGTCCCATCAGAAGTTCGGGACTGGTTGGCTTCTACCTTTACACGAAAAATGGGGATGACAAAAAAGAAACCTGAGGAAAAACCAAAATTTCGGAGCATTGTACATGCTGTTCAGGCTGGAATTTTTGTAGAAAGGTAAGTGAATTTTTTGGTATATCAAGACAAAATTTGAAAAGCAGCAAGAGTGTTCACTATTTCAAAGTTGTGACGGGCCTATGTTTTACTAATTAAGGACAATTGCAATCATAACTAGAATGGACAAATTTTAGACTTTATAATTAACTTTCCTGTAACAAAAATACCTAGTCCTGGATGCATTATTTTCATTCATTTTAAGTTGACATGAAGACTGAAAGCTAAGGCTTTTGAATGGCAATTATCAAATGAAACTTTGTGAATAACTGTTTAAAAACAATTCTAAAACATTCATGTGTTACACAATTAATTTTACCGGAATGAAATGTAACATCTTATAAAGTACATTCCACACTGGATAACAATCTATATATTAGAATCAAGCAGGTCTTTCTCTGTTCTAAAGATAAAAGGCCATCCTCTTCTCCCCACTTTCCATTTAGAGAGAAAATCCCTCTCATGTTCACTCTTGAAGAGTTTTTTTCAAAATATCTGTGTCACTGAAACAAGGGGTATTTATCTAATGGCCCCTAGAAACACCTAGTCAAATCATAAAGTTTCCAATATGAAATACATATAAATATGACCTAACCTTACGTTCTTTTAACTCTTAAGAACACAGTTTATTTTTCTGTCTGGAAGCAAGGTATTTCAGAACCATTACTACAAAAAGACCCAAAATAAACACATTATATCTGACAAAATTGAAAAGTAATTACCATAAATCACTCAGGTTAAAAAATTATATTAAATTACATATAAAATGATTATTTTAATATTTTAGAAACTAAAGAAATTGAGGAACAGAGAAACTTTGTTTTGTCAATGTACTTAAAATTAAATTGAAGAGCCGGGCTCGGTGGCTCAGTCTGTAATCCCGCGCCTTTGGGAGGCTGAGGTGAGTGGATTGCCTGAGCCCGTGGGTTCGAGACCCACCAGGGCAGCGAGACCTCATCTCTACAATAAATCAAAAAATCAGCTGGGCGTGGGAGCGCATGCCTGTAATTCCGGCTACTCGGAAGGCTGAGGAGGAAGGATCGCCGGAGCCCAGCAGGTTGAGGCTGCGGTGGCTGGGAGCGGCCACTGCACTCCAGTCTGGGCGACCGAGTGAGACTCCAACTCAAAAAAAAAAAAAAAAAAATTAAATTGAAGAGAAATCACATTTTTAATCATCTAATAGCTTAAGCTTTATTTTCCTATGCTACAAGAACAATGGAGAGCAAACTTGGGATTCTAAAAATGTAAATGAGAATGTATTGCAAGAAATATGCCATGAAATTTAAAGATTATTAAATATACTATGCAATTTAAAGATAATTTTCCACAGCAACAAATTAAAAATATCTAAAAAATACAAGTATATTGAAAAATCTATGCAAAAATCACAGTTAAAACATGGGCATATATTTGATTTGCTAAAGGAATATATATTTTGTCTTTTTTACTTAAAAAATACAGAACTTGGAAAACTGAAAAAAGTAAATTATAGATAAAAATCAACTGAATTTTTTTTTTTCATTCAAGAGAAAGTTAAGAATTCTGGCCAGGTATGGTAGCTAAAGTCTGTAATCCCAGCACTTTGGGAGGCTTAGGTGAGGGGATTGCCTGAGCCCACAGGTTTGAGAATAGCCTGGGCAACTTGGCGAGACCTCGTTTCTACAATAAATCAAAAAATTAGCCCGGGTTAGTAGTGCGCGCCTGCAGTTCCAGCTACTTGAAAGACTGAGGCAAAAGGATTGCCGGAGTTCAGTAGGTCGATGCTGGGGTGGCCATGAGCATGCCACTGCATTCCAGCCTGGGTGACTGAGTAAGACACTAAAAAAAGAAAAAAGGAATTCTATAAAATATATAACTATCCTAAATTTCCTTCTTTCATATGTTACATAAACAATTTTTATTGAATAGCCTATGGCAATATCAAAATGTACCTAAGGTAACTACATTGGCAAGCAGTCTTGAAGAAATCAATGTGCTAAGAACACATGAAGATGAAATCCTTTTATCACTGTTGAGTTCCCATTAGTAAGTGCATAAAAATAGTAAGACGTATTTATTGTGAATTTTTAAAAATAATCATCTTCAATCCTGAAAATTGGAAGTCTTCTTAAAGTCTTGTTGCTTCTCCCCTCAAACCTTCCCTTCCAAGCTTCAGTACCTGAGCATATCCTGGCAGTGACTTACCCAGAAGTATCCTGAACCTACTCACTTCTTCATCCCCCTCCTGCAACCACAGTCTAAGCTTCCGTTATTCTCCCCCCATGTGATAGTGGTTTTTTAACTGGGTTCTTCTCTTCCTCACTTGCCCTGACCAAGCAAGTCATTCAGCAGTGATTTATTTTATTTTATTTATTTTTATGTTTATTTTATTTTATTTTATTTGCTAGAGTCTCACTCTAGTCACTCAGGCTGGAGTGCAGTGGCATGCTCATGGCCACCGCAGCCTCGACCTGCTGGACTTAGGCGATCCTTCCGCCTCAGTCTTCCATGTAGCCGGAACTGCAGACCCACGTCACCACGCCTGGCTAGTTTTTGTGATTCGTTGTAGACCCGAGGTCTCACCAAGTTGCCCAGGCTGGTCTTGAATCCCCAGCCTCTGGCAATCCTCTCGTCTCGGCCTCCCAAAGTGCCGTGATAACAGGCTGAGCCACCGTGCCTGGCCTGCAGTGATATTTTAAAATATAAATTAGTTCCTGTCACGCTTTTTTTAATATACACTTAAAAAATTTTTTTTTACATTGAAGTAGAGATGGGGTTTCACTATGTCACCCAGGCTAGTCTCAAATTCCAGGACTCAAGAAATCCTCCCACCTCAGCCTCCCAAAGTACTGGGATTACAAGCGTGAGCCACCCTACCTGGCCAGATCCTGTCACTCCTAAACTTAAAACCATCTGATAGTTTCCTCTTTCATTTGATAATCAAGCCTTGCCTGATTAGGCTCCCTTTTACTTTCTAGTTTCATCTAATGCTATCTTTCTCTTTGACAGAACGTCTAGACCAGTCTGATTTCAATTCCAGGAACATTTAAAAATTCTTTCCTGTCTTGGAGCCATTAATCCTGCTAGTCTCTCTGTCAGGAATGCCTCTCTGCACCCTTCAACCTGGCTGAATGTTCCCTTTTACCTTTCCAGAGGCCTTCCCTGATCACTTCGATAGTTCCTCACTATCAAAGCCTCAACCAGCGATTTACCTCATAGCACGTGTCCCTGTTTGTAATCATATATTCTTATTTTCTATTTTTCTTCACCCCACAGAAAAAGCTCTGAGAAGCAGCAACTATATTTTCCTTGCCCTCCACTAGTCTGTTGCCTAGCACAGTGCCTGATATAAGATAGTACTTTTTAAAAGTTTTTGAATGATACTTTATAATTATGGTAAAAGTTTACAAAGTAATCCACCATATTTCCCGTTGGACTTTTACTACCTGTAGGAACCCAGAAAATTCATTATTTCTTTTCAGAAACGTATAAGTTGTGAGCCGGGTGCGGTGGCTCAACCTTATAATCCTAGCACTTTAGGAGGCCAAGGCAAGAGGATTGCCTGAGCCTGGGGGTTCGAGACTAGCCTGGGCAACTTGGTGAGACCTTGTCTTTACAATAAATAAAAAAATTAGCTGGGCATGGTAGCGCACACCTGGAGTTCTGGCTGAAGCAGTAGAATCACTGGAGCCCAGCAGATTGACACTGGCATGGCCGTATGCCACTGCACTCCTGCCTGGGTGACAGAGTAAGACTCCAAATCAAAAAAAGAAAATAGATTACCTGTTTACTTAAGTGTGAAGAAACCATATTAAGGTTTCCCTCACACTCATTCTGATTCCAAGATGAATCATGTTAATTTTCTGTTTTAATTTTTTTATTCCATTTTAAGTTCTATTCCTGATTATAGAATTAGAAAAGTATGATCATAGGAAAGTTTCTCTATCTCTTTGGAAGGGTAATCCTCTTTGACTCTCTTTACATTCCACATAATGAGAAATTGCATTGATGTTCATTTGTCAACCTACTCCAAGTCTAAGAAAGCCAACAGAGTTCCCACTGAGTCCAGGAAGCTCTAAAGGATGTCAGAGTTGGAACCAATGGATTGGCTGCAGAGCAATGAGAATAGTTACAGTAATAACAATGATGGCTTTCTTGTGTTGAGTACCTATTATATTATGCCAGGCATTTACATCATTTAAGCTCACAAGAAGCTTATAATTATTCTCATTTTACAAATGAGTGACATTAAATAGTTTCCCAAAGGTCACACAGCTAACTTGTGACTCAAAACATGTGTTCTTTCTGTTACCTCATGCTGCCCTTCTGTGCCGTGAAGTGAAACTGATTTAATGTTACTTAGCACTTTAAAATTTCTATTTCCCGATTGACTTTTATATTGACCTTTTTCTCTGCTTGTAGCCTTTTCATTTTCCTCCACACTTCCACGTTTTTAGTAATAATGACTAGAAAAAGAGACTTAAAATAGTGTTTGCTCCCCCACACACAAAAAGACCCTCAAAACTAAGTATTATTGCTGACAGTAATTATTTTCTAGATCTTTTGGATTATGATTAGTAGTTTCCTTCTTCTACATGATTAGAATAATCATGCCAATCTCACTAGAGTAATTAATATAAGTATTTTAGTTATAAGCTGTTCTGAAATATTTCAATAGAGATAGAGAATGAAGATAATTTTTTATTATACCTGATCACCTACATCCAAGAAGTGATTTATGGTCATTTACAATAAACTTAAAATGGAAGCATGAAGGTAAAGTAACAACGTCTCTAGAATAAAATGTAAAGATACTTTATTAAGCAAGCCTAGGCTAGAGATATAATTACAGTATTTTCTCTCTGACCTTCCAAGTCAAGATTAAAAAGGAAAACATGATGAATTGACTTGCATTATCTTTTAAAAATGATGATTTTTAGATAGAAACATAGTAGTGTGTACCATGAATTTTTAATATAAGGCACGTTGAATCAAAAAGGTCAGTATCTTTCATAGTGGCTTTATAAAAGACAGAATATTATCTACACTACTGTTTGTTATATTGACCATTATATTTAATCATATTTCATTAAATTGCAATATATTTAATTAAATTACAGTATTGTCCAGGCTGAAGGGAGAAGTTATAGTGATAGAATCGAGGAATGCAGCTTGTTAACTAACTTCATATGAGAATTAAGGGGCATGATGAATAATCAGATGAATTTGCTCTTCCCAGAACTTTGTGGAGGAAATTTGGATATTTCAGAGTCCCAAATAGTAGCCTAGTGCTATTCTTACACATCAGCATACCACACTGATGCTATTCTTGCATTAACTCATGGAGGGAATTCTTATTTTTGATTTTATGTCATTTTGGTTGCTCATCAGAAGTTGAAAAAAATCAAACAAATTACTGATTAATAAAAAATACTTGTGTTATTGATACTGCTATGGAAATGGAAAGAAATTGTTTTCTTTTTGAATAACCTTTCTTAAATAATATTGAATGATGATTAGAACAAATAAGCAATTTTTGTTAGTATGAGTGACCCCAATATTATTAACTAGAAAAAAAGACTGTGTAAATTCTGATGATACTACATATTTCCTCCCATAATATCCATTTTAAAAAAATACTAAGGAAATATTTTAATGGCATTTATCTTTCAGATTAAAAATTTTGGCACATCAGTGGGCACAAAACAAAAATATTCTGCTGTCATGGATAAAGCAACATGTTAGAAAGTGTTGTTGCATGTTCAAAATATCCATCTCTTAGTATGATGAAGTTCAGGAAAATATATCTTTTTTTTTTTTTGAGTTGGAGTCTCACTCTGTCGCCCAGGCTGGAGTGCAGTGGCACACTCATGGCCACCCCAGTGTTGACTTGCTGGGCTCAAGCAATCCTTCTGCCTCAGCCTTCCAAGTAGCTGGAACCACAGGTGCTTGCTACCATGCCTGACTAACTTTTTGATTTATTGTAGAGATGAGGTCTCACCAAGTTGCTCAGGCTGGTCTTGAACCCCCTGGGCTCAAGAAATCCTCTTACCTTGGCCTCCCAAAATGCTGGGATCACAGGCTTGAGCCACCATTCCCGGTCCAGGGAAATATATGGAGACTAAAATCACATTAACTTTACAGCATAGTTGTGAAGATATATTACTATTAACCTCTGTCACGTTAAAGATGCTTCATAAATGGTGGCTGTAGTTATCACTGCTGCCACAAATGGATTCTTTAACGAAAGAAAAAAGGTGAACATGTCAAAAGTAAAATTGTCCCTTATATTTGAGAAATAGCTGAAACATTTGAGCAAATGATATTTATATTTAAACTTATTTTTGTCTTTTTTTAGGATGTACAGAAAAACATATCACATGGTTGGTTTGGCATATCCAGCAGCTGTTATAGTAACATTAAAGGTGAAATAATTTCATTTATTTTCATGTGTAGTCATTTTTTTAAAAAATCACTTTAAAGTGGCTGGGAGAAAATGAGAATAGGTCTTTACTAGAACCTACATATGGAATATAAAAAACATTGTAACCATTTACAAAGTGTATTGTGTTCTGAATCATGACTCATTATTGACATAAATGATGATAGATTTACACAAACTATATCCACACATATGTATATAGAACATGTGTGCATGTGTGACTTTTTCTTTATGCTTTATTTAGGTGGAATTTGTATTCCATTTTGAAACGGCACTAGTATTTGTCAGAATATATGTATTCTGTTATGAATATATTATGGAAGAGTTAAATGCTTTATACAAATATGGGTTAGTCAACTATATTCAAAAGACAAAACTTATATAGAAGAAAATAATTTTAAATGTTTGGTCTGTAAAAATATAAGATAAAATTTTAAGAACTGTATCTCTTTTTTCTCTGAACTTTTCTGTGACTACACTCTTCTAAGACCCAATTCTAAATACTACCTGTGGTAGAAATAGCTAGAGTGGCAACTCAGAAATAAGATGTTAGTTTACTTACTTGCTTAAAAGCCAGTTAACAAAATATTTTAGTCTGAGAGAATGTAATAATTTTTCTAAAATATAGGATAGTAAAAGCATATGAACTACCAGATTGAGGTAGAAAATGTTACCAAGTAAAGAATGCTTTAATTCAATAATTCTTTTCTGAGCAAACCTCTTGTCTTGTTTGTTCTCAAGCTGATGATGTGAAAGCCAGGCATCTGCAGTAGCTTAATAATATAAATCATCACTGTTTATAAAGATTCCCAAGAAGTGGAGAATTAACCTTTTACTCAGTGGGAACTCGCACGTTGAAACTGTAACATAAACAGCAACCTTCTAAGAGTCTGAACTAACTCTTCATTGTTAGCTTTGGAGTTTGATAAAAAAACCTGTCGCCCTCCTTTGAGATTTACTGATGGTAAAATGCCTTCTAACAGAACCTTTCAAGATTCTTAATTTCCAAAGAGATAAAGCAAGTATTTGAAAATCAGATTAAGGCCAAATGCAAATTTAGCAATGGCATACAAGCAAACCAAAAAATATCATTAGGGTTTGTTTCCAAGTGATTCAAAATACCATTTGAAGCTGTTACTATTATTTTTCAAAGTAAGTATTTTTAAAAGAGACCAAATACTTTTTATTGGATTTTCAGTTTAGTTTTAACATGTTACAGCACATAGAATTGGCCTCCATAAAAATGTGTTAAATGAATAAAATTCTAAACAGTAACCGACTCAGATTCAAATTTAGTATATAGCTTTACGGTTGCCCACTTACTGTTCAATACTGAATCTGCCATGTGTGTGTAAATGCTAGGCCTTTTGCTAGCAGCTTCTGATCGCCTTTAGAACTGACTACTATGCTTCTTTAAATTATTTAAGCAAAATATTGAGTAGCTGGAGGGGCTTAACATCCCTGTCCACTGTACTCTCTCCCTGCTAGGGAGCACTTTCCTGGTTCCCAACAGGTCTAAGGTCTACCTGCTTTCCCAGGGAATTGCATGAAGTGCCCAAATTGCTGTCCTCCTCCTCAATCAAAAGGTCCACTCCCTTTTCCTCACCACCTGTCCCTGGAGGAGAGCATAAATGATCCTCACCATCCATCCCTGGAGGGAAGTATAAATGAGTCAGCCAAGGATAGAGTGAGTAATAATAGTTAAAAAGTAGTGCATAATAAAATACATTTCAATAATAAGAGGTAGTATATACTCCACTTCTCTATGATATTTGCATCTTAAAAGAGCATAGATATCAAAGCTCTAAGCCAAATTACAAATCCCTTTGGTGAAATTTTAAGCAATGTAGCAGGTAGGTGAGTGAGAAAGTGAAATTGGAATTACTTCCCTTTGTCCCTCAATTGACATCACCCATATAACCAGCAATTCTACCCTAAAATTAGGTCCACTCTGGGAAAATGATTTATGGCAGGAAGTTTATTATATCAGTTTAATAATCTCGGGATTCAAGGAAAGATCTTGGTGCTATATTAAGCATTATGGCCTCAGTTTTGTGGACCCATGGCTACTAAGTAGCCTTGTCATATCAGACTCTGGTAAAGTGTAGTTTGACATGCTAAGTTGAAATATGACATGCAAAATGTAAAGTGATGATTTTAAAGTTTTTTTTTTCATAGAAAGAAACAAAACTATATGATATTGCCACCTAAAATATTTACTCCTTTTTTCTACAGGATGTTGATAAATGGTCTTTTGATGTGTTTGCCCTAAATGAAGCAAGTGGAGAGCATAGTCTGAAGTTTATGATTTATGAACTATTTACCCGATATGATCTTATCAACCGTTTCAAGGTCAGAAACATGGAACAAAAGTGAAAGCTCTTAGGACTGGTTATTTGAATAAGAATGAAAATGCAGAACACCGAATCATTGAGCTATTCATTTTAGGATGTTTCTAGTTAGTAGTGACAGAAATTAAGGGGACAAGTATACCCCAAGATAGAACCATTCTCCACCCCTCACCCACATATCTATAGATTCTACCCGGGACCATGAGGCCTCTGTCCAACAAGATACCTACGTCTCTGACTTATTTACAGAACATTCATTAGAGATAGGAAACTATGTCTTAAAGAAATATGATCGATCACCAGTAATTCTAAAACACAGAATGAATCTTTATTGGCAGCTTTTCTTAAACTGGAATAAAGGAACATCTAATTAACTTTATCTAGTTCCACCCAAGCAACAGATTTGATCCAGACTTCTGAGCATCTGAAACTTGTTACTTTCACCATTTCTTGCAGAATCACAGCATTTTTAGAGCTGTGAAATACTGGGAGGCCATCTTCTTTAACCCCTTTGTACTACACAGATAGAAAAATCAGACTTCACTAATTAAATTAAATGAAGTTAATTAAATTTTACCTTTTTAAGAGGTATCATTTTTACTTGACTCTGAAGGATATCAAAACTGAAAGACTCTAGGATGTAAGACTGTTATTTCATCTATTTTAGTTAAATTTTGGGAAATTATAATCCTTCTTCTCAGGATTGGAAAGCAGCATATTAATGAAGTGGTTTTTCAGAAGAATTCATGTTTGACATAAAGAAACTACTGCCTATGTCTGAGCCACTAATATATTCCACCCCAAACTTTGTGTTCATGTTGATTTAATGTCCTTCTTTTGGTCAAAATGTAATCCTAACTATTACTCTCCACAGATTCCTGTTTCTTGCCTAATTGCCTTTGCAGAAGCTTTAGAAGTTGGTTATAGCAAGTACAAAAATCCATATCATAATTTGATTCATGCAGCTGATGTCACTCAAACTGTGCATTACATAATGCTTCATACAGGTATCATGGTAAGAAAGTCTTTTTATCTAAAGTTTGTTAGTTTAGAAGCATCAACATGCATTCCCCTAAGTTTCTATTATCTTTTTAAAGCCCATGGAAGTATTATATGTAATAATTTTTAAGAATTTTGAGAATTATGAGTTATTTATAATATACATTTAAAAAAAATTAAGCCCAGTGCAGTGATTCATGAATTTCTGTAGTCCCAAGCTACTTCAGAGGCTGAAGTGGGAGGACCGCCTGAGTCCAGGAGGTCAAGGCTGGAGTGAGCCATAATCATGCCACTGCACTCCAACCTGGGTGACAGAGTGAGACCAGAACTCAAAAAAGAAAAAAAAAAAGTCCTAAAAAAAGATACCCAGAGGCAAACCAAAAGATATTCATTTTTCAAAATTGAGACTAGAGAACATTTTTGCTTGTAAATTCCTTTTTCAATAGAAACAATTAAAAAAAGTGATGAGAGAAAATGTCTTTGGAATAAAAGTTACAGCGCTCTTCCCTCCCTCACTGTGTTCTCCTAAACTGATATAAAAGAAGTTCTTCTAAACTTCCCTTTCTCTTGTTCTGCTAATCACAATCAAATCCCATAAAGGATTTGGGGAAATTATGTGAAGTTTTCCAAATTCTCCTTTTTTGCATCTGAATGAACCAATGAATGAGTGTATAAGTGATTCAGCAATGCAAAACCTGGATAACAGTGAGTATATGACAGGAACTTTGAGAAAACCAGGAACTTCTATATGTCACAGAGCTCAGGGTAACTTCCAGAAGGTGAAAAGTGAGGAGCAGCCTTTCCTTCTGAAGGTACCAGACTGAGAAGGGTTCAAAGGGGTGTGTGAGATTTCCAAGTCCCAGAACCTGCTTTAATTATGAAGTGCAATAAGAAAATATATGACATTTCTGGCTTAGAGGTAAACAGAATTCATCATTTAAAAATATGTTTCTGTATAAATACCTTTTCTAGCACTTGCCACAAGTGTAAAGGAGACTAAATAAAAGTCTCCTATTTCAACTTTAGAACCTCTAGCCTGATGTTGAAGATAGAGGATATTATATTAGTGGGTAAATAGATAAATTCAAATTCACAATGTGACTTTACCATCAGACTTACAAGAAAGACTGTTGTAGGACCTAACATGTCATTCCAACTGCTCTCGAAGAGGGAAATCTGGCCCTACTAGCATGACTCCTAGAAAGTTAAAGTTGTTAGCAAAGACCATATAGCCACTTTTGAGAAGGTCATGACTTACCAAACAGAAATAAAACTGCCCTTTACTTTAGCAGATTTGACTTGGAAATTTGTTTCTGATTTTATTCATCTGTTAGCAAAAATGTGTCGATGGGCTCCTCTCTCACCCATCAGTTTGGCCATTACAAAAATAGCCCAGTGTTAGACCTTTAGCATTGTCCAGGAACCAGAAAATACAATTTAAATGGGGATAATGAGAAATTTTACAATAAACTGTGAGAGTCAAAATAAATTTATGAATGTATTGAGTTTTTTTGTCAAGACCAAGATACACTGCCATGCCTGACAGTTTTGGGAAAGTTATTTTAACAAGTTTTCTCTACATGAAAAGTAATGGTAGGTGACTATTAATTTTCATGCATATAAATGTGTTGGTTCAAAATTTAAAAAGCATGATAGAAATATTTGTTTAGCTAAAATTCTACAGTCCTTTCTCAGCCCTCAGATTTGATATGGAGGAGACTGAATCACTACTTGGGTGTTCTAGCTGATGCCCTGCTATTTCAGGGTGGTCTTATCAGTGTGACATTTTTGGAGCACTCCAGAGGAGACCAGCACTGTCAGGCGACTAATGCATCCTGTCATCTGCAAGATGTTTTAAGGACCATGGCTTGAAAGGGATTGTGATGAAGCCATTGTGCTGTTTGTTAATGTCATAAGGGACAGCATCAAGTCAGGAAGTAGACAATGCAGAGGAAAGTTGATACTAGTACACACTCTTGTCTCCCTCTCTCTCTTGATTAACTTATAACTCTGTGTCACAGTGACAGTGATGTGCAGTAACTCAGTCCATTTTCTAAAGAGCAAATGCTTTATAGAGTGCTGCCAAATATTTCTTTGAATATGAAATCACCCAAGGGTCTTGGCTAGAGAACAACTGCATTTGAGGGCTTCTGGCACTGTGTTATCTCTAATACTAAGAGTAGAAGAAAGAGAGATAAGTCAAAATCTATTTCCTTTTTTGTGGTCCACTGACTACACACAGAAATAGTCTGTCACACTTTGGAATGAGTAAATCTTTCTCTGATCAATCTACAGAAAACTTGGCACCATGTCTCTATTCTAAAAACGATGTGGAAATACTGCTCTTATCAACAGCTTTCCATGCAACACTATTTTGAAGAGTAGATAGACGGTAGGCTTGGGAAGCAGTCAGATATAGGTTTGAAACCATATTCCCCACTTCTTAATTCGCTAGCTCTCTGCCTGGTCTCTTTATCACTAAAATGTAGTTAATAATACCAACCACCTTATAGAATGGCAATGAGGAGTCAATAAAATCACATTTGTAAAGCATCTATCCTATGCCAAAAGCATAATAACACAGAGACTAATGCTAATTAGTTAGTTATTATAATATAACAATTTTCTACACTGGTAGAATGGTATAGAACTTCTATATTGATATATCTTAAACCACTTTAACCTATTCAAAGGATAGAGAAAAAAATGTGTCCAACCCTATCATTTCAGGCTAAAAGAGTTATTAATTATGCACTTTTAGGTACACCAGAAACTAAGATGTCAATGTGATTTTCTGACTTGAAATTCTCCCTACCTTATATATATAGGACACATATAACATGGTGCCAAAAAAGGTATACACATTTTAATGCATTACTTTTAGTTCCCTGTAATCAGAAGTGCCTGGAAGCTTGCAACTTCTTGTGATTGCAGAAGTCAAATGTGACTTATATTCATCTTTTGTTATTGGTATATATTATTACAATTTTAATAGTCTTCTTTCCTTAAAATTTGTATACAGTTTTGGCACCCTCTATACTTTGTTACACAGATATCCATGCATGAACACACACACACACACACACACACACCCACACACCCCACACGCCCCAAGTAATCCAGATATGAAAATTATATTATATGAGACACACAAAAACCAGAATTTATTTATGAAAAATTGTGTATTTACTCTTATATGATTAAACTTTAGTCACCTTCAAAGTACTCTCCATTTGATGCAATACACCTATCAAGATGCTTTTTCCTCTGTTCAGAACAGTTTTTGAACTCATCAATTTTGATGCCTTTTAGTGCTTCTGCCATTTTTTGTTTCACCTCTTCCACATCAACAAAATGTTTCCCTTTAAGGACTTTTTTCATCCAGGGAAACAAAAAAGAGCCACTTGGGCAAGATCAGGTGAATAGGGAGGGTAGAGCACAGGGGCCATGCTGTCTTTGGCCAAAAACTGCTGAACACTCAGTGTTGTGTTGACAGGTGCATTGTCATGGTGGAAGAACCAGTCAGTCACCTGTTTGCCACAACTTGAAATGTTTCTTCTAAAAACTGTGATGCAACCTTCTCAACACTTCCAGATAAAAAATTTTGTTGACAGTTTGATCCAGAGGAACATATTCCAAGTGTATGACAAAGAATCCACCCTCCAAATGATAACTCTTATTTTTTGGTGGGGTGCCCCCAAGTCAAAGCTCTATAAGCATCTATCCATTCATATATCCAGTTAAATTAGCTGGAAATTCTGCCCCTGAAGCCTTAGAAGTGTGTGTTCAGCTTATTGCTTCCCTTAAGCAATGAATGGACAGATTTGGGGTTGAATTCCTGCTCCGCCACAGACAGGTAAGTGACCTTTGAAATGTTGATCTAATTCTTTAGGACTCAGCTTTGTTATCTGCAATGTAAGGCTAAAAATATTTACCTAGAACGATAAATAAAATGATTATAAGAATTACAGGAGACCATCTAAATAAAGTGTCAGTTAATATTAGTTTCCCTTCTCTTTTTTTTTTTTCCCTGTCATTCATTATACATGCTATTAGTGGCAGTCAGAAACTTCTTAGAATATAATTTGATGACCGCCTATTTTAGAGTCAGTCTCCCTGAGCATTTCTCCAGACAAAATGCTACCTACATTTCTGATGAAACACAATGTCTGCATTGCTCATGATTCATCATTTTACCCCTTTATTTCTGCCTATTGGGAATCCAAAGAACCTCAGTTTTGTACTGACCACTGCTCCATCTGAAAGGAGTGATAGGATTCAGCCTCATTCTCTCTGGCTTGCCTTCATGAATCATTTGCAAAATCTATGAATGTAAGCACCCATTCTGAATTAGAATCCTCATTTGACACAAGCATAAAATGAATCAGCAGATAAGGAGCTAATAGTTCAAAATTCCACTTTCACTAATACACAATAGATGTGTTTTTTAATTAAGTGTGAAAGCTTAGTGGGTTTTTTTTCTTCCTAAAATACTTTGTAGTGAAACTTAACCATTAAAGGCCATAACATGGCAATAAATAAAAGAGATTCAAGGAAGAAGTACTGTTTATATGAGGCAGAGATTAATTAATATAAAAACAGGAAGAACCTTTATAATAAATTTTGTCAACTGGCAAGATAATTTCAAATACTTGTGAGCTAATCTCTAATTAAATTCCCTCTCTTATATCTTCACTTAATTACTGTTTAGTATTGTAGCTTCACATTCTATAAGATCATAGTGAATACTGAATGCTGCTTTTTTAAAACCATAGCTAAATCTGTCAATCCATAATTAGAACCAACAGAAATACTTTAGGAAAATAGATTTTTTTTTCAAGAAACAATCATCTTTAATAAAACGATGGGTTTTTTAGGGGTCAAAAACTGGTTTAACTTCAATTGCTATTCATTACATGGTGTTTAATTTCATGGTTTCATTGGGGACATTGGACGCTCAGATCCAGTTCAGTCTATAATACAGGCCATTAATAAGGTCACTTTCTTCCTTTCAATGGCACAATGAAATGCATCTATGGACATAGAACAGGTAGTTATATCAACTCCCTTTGGTTCTAAAAATTATTTCTTCTTCAGTCATCCAACTTTGAGGCATTTATCCTTGGACTGCAATCACTAAAGATATGGAAGCCATTAGTTTACAGATGTAATGTCTTAAATGATATATTTAAAGTAGTAAGTTTGGTAAAATGCCATTATTCTAGGTTTTTACTACATGACAAGACCTGTGATAGTCACTGTCATACATTAACTAAAAATCGACCTTTCAGACAACTCCTCAATCTCCCTACTGGGAATATACCCAGAAGAACTCAAATCACTCTATAAAAAAGATGCCTGCACATGTGTGTTTGTCACAGCACTGTCCACAGTAGCAAGAACATGGGATCAACTGTGTTGCCCATCAAAAGAGGACTGGATTAAAAAATGTGGTACATATACAAGATGGAATATTACATAGCCATAAAGAAGAATAAAATCACAGACTTCACAGCAACCTGGATGAACTTAGAGTCTATAATACTGTGTGATACTTTACAGAAACAAAGAACTGAGTATCACATGATCTCACTCATAAGCGGACCCTGAACAATTATCGTAATACTGTAAGAAAAGAATTGGCAGTAGCAGGAAACTGCCAGGAGGGGAGCAGGGAAGCTGGATTGGTAGTAGTGGGAATCTGCCTGGGGAAGGGTGGGCACACCTCATCAACAAGGGTAACTGCATAATGAATTTGTATACCTAATGTTGAATTATACTCCACATCTTAAAAAAAAAAATTCTCAGGGAGTTTCACTAATCCCATTTTTATGGGAACTGTAGCTGAGAGGATAAATAACTTATTTTCCTGAGGATTGACAGAGGTTTAAAAACCAGAATTGAGCCGGACTCGGTGGCTCAGCCTGTAATCTCGCACCTTTGGGAGGCTGAGGTGAATGGATTGCCTGAGCCCGCGGGTTCGAGACCCGCCTGGGCAACTTGGTGAGACCTCATCTCTACAATAAATCAAAAAATTAGCCGGGTGTGGTAGCACGCACCTGTAGTTCCAGCTACTTGGAAGGCTGAGGCAGAAGGATTGCCGGAGCCCAGCAGGTCCAGGCTGCAGTGGCCACTGCACTCCAGTCTGGGCGACAGAGTGAGACTCCAACTCGGAAAAAAAAAAAAAAAAACCAGGATTGTCTGATTCCACCATCTCTTTCCACTACTTCCTACTACTGCCTTCTAATTCAAAACTAGTGAAATTCAATTCAACAAACAAATACCAAGTTCTTGATATGTGCAAAATATCACGATGAGTTTTGTGAAGGGAGCTAAGATTAAAAAATCCATGCCTTTGGCAACTATGAGATTTTGCAGTTGTTACCTCCTTCATTTTTGATTCATTGACCTACAGTGGCTTCCTCTTGCTTTTACACAAAATCCAAATGTATATCTCTAATCAAGATAGTACAACACCGTGGGTTCGAGACCTGCCTGGGCAGCGAGACCTCATCTCTACAATAAATCAAAAAAAAAAAAATCAGCTGGGCGTGGTAGCACACGCCTGTAATTCCGGCTACTCGGAAGGCTGAGGCGGAAGGATCGCCGGAGCCCAGCAGGTCGAGGCTGCGGTGGCTGGGAGTGGCCACTGCACTCCAGTCTGGGCGACAGAGTGAGACTCCAACTCAAAAATAAATAAATCAATAAATCAATAAATAAAAGATAGTACAACAATGTTTCCCATGCTCCCCAAGCTCTTGTCATTTCATTTCACTTGACTCTCCAACACAATTGTAACAATTCTGTTTCAATACAGGCCCCTATAGTGTCATTCTACATTTGTTCTTTCCGTTTAAATCCCTGTACCATGTCAATCTTCGTCCATTCTTTTTCCAAGATCTATTGCCACCAAATAAATAACCTTCCTATCTGCACTTAGATTATTATTTATTCACGAACACATGATAGCCTTCTCTTATTATGTGCAAGGTCTTTGATTGTTTTACATATATGGAATAAGACCACTAAAAGTGGGCTCCCTATCATTTTGGGTTTTCCATTTGTACCATCAAGTATCATCTACTCTCAGTGTTGTCCAAAAGAACTTGCTGTGATTATGGAAATGCTTTGTGTCTTTGCTGTTCTATATGGTAACCACTTGTCACATGGGTCTAGTGAGTTTGTAAAATGTGGCTAGTATAACTGGGAAAGTGAATTTAATTTTACTTTATTTTAATTTAAATGGCCAGATGTGGTTACCATATAGGACAATACAGTAAAAGTGTTTTACAAAATGTGAATGATGAAAAACTATTGAATTATTTACAAATGAACTTATGATAGTAGAGAAATTTTGTTAAGCCATCTAGTTAGTAAGAGAAAGATCAATGTATATGAAGCAGATGGCCCTGGATTTTATCTGAAAGCATTTATTTTTTTCTTTATCATTTTGAGGTTAATTGTATAGTCATATGAGTTATGAGTAGAAAATGTGAATTTCACAAACTTTCCTAAATCTTTAAATATAAAAATGAAGTTAATTTCTATAATGAGTAAAACATGTATTTTCAATTTTTAGATGAAAAATTTTCTCATAGTGGGTCTTCTACAATGCTTAGGCTAAAATACATTTCGGTGATATGTAAACTATATGTTAAAAATTACTAAACTGTAATTGATTTCATAAGAACTCAAAAGGGCAATAAGTTCAAAATCTGGTCCAACTTCTCCTTTTAAGTAAGAGAAAACTACTTCTTTTTCAATTAGCAAGAATAATTATATTTTGAATTTGGAGCTCATAAAGCCATAAAACAATTATTGAGCTCATGACATATCTATTATACACAATTAATGGAGGTGAAATAGAAAGAAAACAATTAAAATAAATAAGAAATAATATTTTATGATTACATAAACTGAATGAACTGAAAATCTTTTTGGTAGACAAGAAAAATAGCCTCCACTTTCTAAATATGATGGGTTTTTCTTTCATTTGCTAGCACTGGCTTACTGAACTGGAAATTTTAGCAATGGTTTTTGCTGCTGCCATTCATGATTATGAGCATACAGGGACTACAAACAACTTTCACATTCAGACAAAGTAAGTATAAAATGTATATCTCTTATAAGTAAAAATTTGAAATTCATTTTTCTTTATATTATTACTTAAAGATAATTTTTAAAAACAACACAAATTCTAATAAGTATAGTTTTAATGGAATTTTACAAAACTTTCTTATATCGTAAACACTTAAGTCAATCAACTCTCATTTTACAAGAGTATTGTATATTGTATTTTGTGGAAATTTTAGTAATTTAAGGAATATGAAAATGCATAAGACAGCATCTCTCTGCCCAAAACTTACACTGTGAACTACCATACAAGTCAGATATCTATTCACAGAGAAAAATCTTGCAATTTATTGGTTTTGTATCATTATGTATTTGAAAGTAATAAACTTCACTTCTGAATACCTGAAATCAAAGAAATCTCATTTTTGGGCAGCATGAAGTATTAAATTTAAAATAATTGGAAAGTGAGATTTTTAAAAATGATGATTATAATGGTAGTTATTTGAATCAAATACCAGACTGGAAGAGTATTAGTCTGCTACGGTTACCATAATCAAATACCACAGAATGGGTGGCTTAAATAACACAAATTTAGTTTCTCACAATTATGAAGACTGAGAGGTCAAGATCAAGATATCAGCAGGTTTGTTTTTTTTCTGTTTTTCCTTGATTTGGAGACAACCACCTTTTCCCTCACTGAGTCTTTTCTCTGGGCACATGCACCCCTAGTGCCGCTTTCTCTTCTTATTAGAACACCATACATACCGGACTAGGGTCCCATCCTCATTATCTCATTTTATCTTAATTACATCCTTAATGGTCCTTTCTCTAAAGACACCCACATTGGGGCTTAGAGCTTCAATATATGAATTGTAAGGGAGACATAATTCAGTCAGTAACAGGAAGGGATCCTAAGCTCTTTTTAGTTAGGCAGAAAAGTCAGTACCTGAGAGGCAGGATTTGGTGTAAGGGCCAATAGGATGTATTCATTTTATATATGTGGGATTCTGAAATTTCTCTAAGTTTTTTACTAGTCAGGATGCTTAACAAGGAGATTAAGTTAAGAAACTGATGTCTCTCTGGAGCCACTGTAGAAACTTCTATTATTGTACAGAGAAAACTAAACCTGGTTGTTTTTTGTTTGTTCATTTTTTTTATTAATAGACTTTATTTTTCCTCCTTTTTATTCTGGGAAACACTAATTCATTTGAATGTCTCCTTAGTTTTGACTTTTCCAAAATATAATATCATTGAAATTATATAATAAATAGTCTTTTCAGTCTGGTTTCTTTCACTTAGCAATAAGTGTTTAAGTATCCTCCATGTCCTTTCATTGTTGATAACTTGTTTCTTCCTATTGCTGAAAATATTTCATTGTATGTCTATACCACAGTTTGTATATCTATTTTGCTATTGAAGGACATCTTAGTTGTTTCCAGTTTTGGGCACTTATACATAGTGCTGCTATAAGCATACATGTTCATGTTTTTGTGTAGTCAGGTCACTTATTTTTGGAATAGAAATATTTTATCAACTTATTTTTTCAGATAGAAGGAGTGAGTCTTTTGATGTGGGGAGTATAGAAACAGTTTTTTAAAAATACTAGGCATTTTAAAATTTAAAGTGACCCTAAGGTGACTGAAATCCACTTTATAGATAATCTGGTCTAAGCCTCACAGTCTAAGAAGAAGAGAAAACAAAGATTTCAAGAGGTGAACTGCCCTATCTATAAACATATGGTCAGGGGATAGCAGGGGCAAGATTGGGAAGTTGAGAAGAGGGACACGCACTCTTAATCCAGTTCTTTATCCAACTGCTTCCATGGCCAGAGACAGACACATGATGGTTCAAGTCTTTTATAGCCTGCAATGGGATGGGCTGACACATTGTAGCTCCTTGTTGGAGACAGAGGAAGAGTTAAAATTTGAACAGTGGAATGTTGGGGAAGGCATTCTAACTATCTCTGGCATGGAGGAAACCCCAGCATCCCCCAGACTGACATAGAATGAAGCAGGCAGGAAAACCTTGTAGTCTGGTTGTGTGACAGGAATATTATTAATCTACACATATTTGCAAAGTATAGGGAGTTGTTCTGCTTTTATTTGTATTAAATAGCAAAGGAAAAGAAGACTATACAGATCATTTTTGCTTATCAAATTCTCTTTACATACATTGAATACACAACGAGGATGATTTTTTATTACAGATAGCTCATTACTGAATTGGTCTCTGTAGAAAGCAACAGTCTTAGGGATTTGAGAAGGGAGCAAGTGATTGGTCACCAGTGATTACTCTTTTGCCTTTCTACTTTGAAAAGTGAAAGCAATGGGCTGGCCCTTCCCAGTAACAGTGTTAGATCATCACTTCCAAATTTTTTCTTTTATTACTCATCTGCAACTGGATGAAGAGTCCCAATATACTTTGGGCTGTGATGGAGGAGGAGGAGAAGGAGGAGGAAAAGGAGGAGAAGAAGAGAAGGAAGAGGAGGAAAATGAAAAGGAAGAGGACAGGAGGGGAAAGAGGAAGAATGAATCTTTTCTATTTTATACTGAAAAACAGTATAAAAAAGGAAAAATTGTTTAAAAGAGTCAATTACTTCATGCATTTATTTTACATGACCTTGAAAAGTCCATGAACAAAAATGTTGTGGTGACCAAAATTCAACAACATAATATGCTTTTTAACTTTCACTATTGCCTTCACATTATGTCCAAGAAGAAGTAATATTATATGTCATCGGCATCAATAATTCTATTTTATCTTATATTATTCATTGTTACATGAATTTAGAATGCTTTTCTAATATGAAATGCATCACTGCATAATGAAAAATGACTAAAATATAATTTAGAACATAGGACAAGACTAGATTTGAGTTCACTACAGATATTATAAAGCAAAAAAATCCTTGAAAGTGTAAATAAATGGAAATAATTTCCTCTTTGTGAAAAGAAAATGCCAAGCTACATGTTACCATGGATACTGAATGTTGCGCAGAGTCTGTTCTTTTCTTAGCAGTCAAAGACCATCTCAAACATCAGGACCATGCTGGATTCTCAGCATCCTTGTTAGAATTATAAGACAAAACCATGCATACTTTACCTCAATTAATCCTATTTCAAAAACATACCTTTGCTTGTTTTGAAAGGAGAGACAGGCATACTTGAGGCTATATCATGTAATAATCCTGACAAGACTTCTATGACTAGATTTGGGGCCACATGATGCAAATTATGTTATTAGAAAATTTCTCCCACGGCTTCATCAAACTTCTGGAAATGTGCATAATGTTTTTCTGAGGCAAGATCTATTTAAGAATCTCTTCAACAAAGTTTACATGTATGCCTTTCTAGTTCAGATTTCTATGTATTGAGTTATGATTATTGATTAGAAATTTTTTGACTTAATTGAGATTATTTTTTTAAAGTCCTTTTTAGAGATATGTGCCATTAGCTAAATACATATGTTATTTTACCATTATGACTATACTAGAAACAAAAGAGAAAGTAATTATTCTAGTGCCTGGTAGGTTATTTCTCACATGTTGCATTAGTAATAAAGCTTGGTTCATCTGGCAGACTATCAGATACAGATCTTAGACAGGCTGCTTGCAGCAGATGTCAGATTTCTTTAGTTTTCTTTTTCTTTAATAAATTTTTATACATATATGGTATAAAACATGATGTTATGAGATACAGATAGGTGGAAAAATGATTGCTATAGTGAAACAAATTAACATAGTCATTATCTCACATAGCTATGCAATTTTTTGTTGTTGTTTTGTGGCAACCTTAGTTCTTTATTTTGTCCTTGTCTGCTCTTCAGTCAACATTCAGTGGCAGGGCTAGTGCTAGGTTGAAACTTAGACTCTACCCACAGAAAAACCTGAAACAGTAAGTATGGAGTGAAGTAGTTTTACACCTGACAGTGTGTGTATCTACTAGGAGGAAGGGAAATAAGAAAAGTATGGGTATTGGGGACTTGATAGCAAAGTTGCTACAGGTCTCAACTTGACTTTCCTTTTGCTATTTTTGCTGTCTGGCTCCAACTTGCCAACTTATATGAATTCTTCACAATTTTAAGACATTGAACATAGTGGTTCTACTCCCATTCCACACTTGCATAATGATCTGGCAACTAGGAGGATAGAGGAAGGCGAAGCCAAGGCTTCATTATACAGATCTGAGAATGCTTAAATATTTCAAACTGTATGCTAGAATACCAAATTCATCAATGCAACTTGAGGTAGTTTATTTGATGGTCAAATTGTATGAAAATACAGACAGGTGATAAATAAAACCCTTCCCTTTATGTATTCATCATTTAAATAATGTCCATTATAAATTGGTAGTGAAACATATACTATATGTTTTTAAAAATATTCTCTATTGTAACTTAAAGCAAAAAGATCCTTAATATTCAAATTTAATTACAGCATTATAAGGGAGAAAAAAACTGGAATCACAAATAGATCGAATGATTTTCATCATCTCCTTCACCTGATACCCAAAGTAATTTTAGTTAAAAAGAACAGGGGAGAGCCGGGCTCGGTGGCTCAGCCTGTAATCCCGCGCCTTTGGGAGGCTGAGGTGAGTGGATTGCCTGAGCCTGCCGGTTCAAGACCCGCCTGGGCAGCGAGACCTCATCTCTACAATAAATCAAAAAATCAGCCGGGCGTGGTAGTGCAATGTCTGTAATTCTAGCTACTTGGAAGGCTGAGGCGGAAGGATCGCCGGAGCCCAGCAGGCGAGGTTGCGGTGGCCGGGAGCGGCCACTGCACTCCAGTCTGGGCGACAGAGTGAGACTCCAACTCAAAAAAAAAAAAAAAAAAGAACAGGGGTGAGCCGGGCTCGGTAGCTCAGCCTGTAATCTCGCGCCTTTGGGAGGCTGAGGTGAGTGGATTGCCTGAGCCTGAGGGTTCGAGACCCGCCTGGACAGCGAGACCTCATCTCCACAATAAATAAAAAAAAAAATCAGCCGGGTGTGGTAGCACATGCCTGTAGTTCCAGCTACTTGGAAGGCTGAGGCGGAAGGATCGCCAGAGCCCAGCAGGTCAAGGCTGCCGTGGCCGGGAGTGGCCACTGCACTCCAGTCTGGGCGACAGAGTGAGACTCAAAAAAAAAAAAAAAAAAAGAACTCAAAAAAAAAAAAAAAAAAGAACAGGGGTGGTAATCGGCTCTTTAAAAGGGACACAAAGGGGTTTATTAATTCACTGATTGAAGATGTTAGATATCTGTTTTTCTCCCTGGTATATCTAGAGTATTTCACAGATATCTAGATTACAAATTAAAAGGAAAAGGCATAAACACATTTAAACTAGGATAATGATAATTAAAAGAAAACTAAATATCACGACCAAGTGGGATTAACCCCGGTATGCAAGCTTAGTTCAACAGTCAAAATTCAATTAATGTAACCCATCACACCAATACATTACAGAAGGAAAAAAAATACATGAACTTATCAATAAATGCAGAAAAGGCATTTGACAAAATCTAACACACATTACCGATAAAAAAATTAATAAACAAGGAATAGAGCAGAAATTCCTCAACCTGATTAAAAAAAAAAATCTTCAAGTGTAGAATTGTGGTTATCAGGGACTGTAGTAGAGGTGATGGTTAAGGAGATGTTAGCCAAAAGATACAAAATTTCAGTCAGATATGAGGAATAAGTTTGAGAAAGCTATTGTACAATGTGGTGACTAGAGTTAATAACAACTAACTCTACTATTGCATTCTCAAAAAGATGCTAAGAGAGTAGATTTTAAGTGTTCTCATCTCAAAAATGGTAAGTTGTGAGGTAAAACATATGCTAATTAGCTTGGTTTAGGTCATTCCACAATGTAAAGATCAAGGCAAGGATGTCCCCTGTCACCACTGGTTTTCAACATCATATTGGAAGTCCATACAGGAAGTCCTGGATAATACAATTAGACAAGAAAAGGGGAAAAACAAGGTATGCAGATTGGGAAGGAAGAAATAACACTATCTTTGTTTGCAGATGATATTATTGTCTCCGTAGAAAATCCGAAAAAACCAACAAAAAAATCTCCTGGTGCTAATAAACAATTATATCAAGGTTGCAGTATACAAGGTTAAAATGCAAAAGTAATTTGCTTTCCTATGTACCAGCAATGAACCAGTGGAATTTGAAATTGAAAGCACAAAGTCATTTGCATTATCACTCCTCAAAATGAAATATGTATAAATTTAACAAAATATATACAAAGTTTTATGAGAAAAACCACAAAACTCTAATGAAAGAAATAACAAATACAAAAATATTTCATGTCATGGATAGAAAGACTCAATATTGTCAAAATGTATGTTCTTCCCAAATTGATCTACAGATCTAATGCAATGTCAGTCGAAATTATTTATATGCTTATATTTATATTTTATTATATTGACAAAGTGACTCTAACAATATTGAAGAAGAACAAAGTTAGAAGACTGACACCACCTAACTTCACAACTTACTATAGAGCTATAGTAATCAAGACAGAGTGATATTGGTAACAGAATGAACAAATAGATCAATGCAAACAGAATAGAGAGCCCAGAAATGGACCCACAAAAACATAGTCAATTGATCTTTGACAAAGAAGTAAAAATACAATAGAACAAAAATAATTTTTAAAATAAATTGTTCTAGAACAACTGGACAGCCACATGCAAAAAAAATGAATCTAGACACAGACTTTTATGATATGAATGTCCCTCCCAGAATTCATCTGTTTAAAACCGACTATCCAATGTGACAATGTTGGAAGGTGGATCCTAAGGGAGGTGTTTAGGTCATGAGGGCTCTGCCTGTGTAAATAGATTAATACCATCATAGATGGGCTTGTGGAGTATGTTTGCTCTCCTGCGTTCTCTGCCCTTCTGCTATGCAGTGTCTTCTGCCATTTGATGATGGGACTTTCCAGCCTCCAGAACTGTGAGAAATAAATTTCTGTCTTTTTACACATTAGTCAGACTAAGATATTCTGTTATAATAGCACAAACATAATGCCGGGCTCGGTGGCTCAGCCTGTAATCCTGCGCCTTTGGGAGGCTGAGGTGAGTGGATTGCCTGAGTCCGTGGGTTCGAGACCCACCTGGGCAGGCGAGACCTCATCTCTACAATAAATCAAAAAATTAGCCGAGTGTGGTAGTTCCAGCTACTTGGAAGGCTGAGGCGGAAGGATTGCCAGAGCCCAGCAGGTCGAGGCTGCGGTGCCCGGGGGCGGCCACTGCACTCCAGTCTGGGCAACAGTGAGACTCCAACTCAAAAACAAAAAACAACAACAACAAAACCATATTAACACACAATCTTATACCCTCCACAAAAAATTAACTCAAGATGGATAACAGACTTAAAGGTAAAATACAAAACTATAAAACTCTTAGAAGATATCTGTTATCTAGAAAATTCAGATGATCTTGGATATGGTAATGACTTTTTAAATATAACATCAAAGGCAAAATCTATGAAAGAAAGAATTAATAAGCTGGACTTCACTAAAATTAAAAATTCATGCTCTGCCAAAAACACTGTTAAAAGGCTAGAAAGACAAGCCACAGACTGTGAGAAAATACTTGAAAAAGACATATCTGACAAAGAACTATTACTCAAAATATACAAAGAATGCTTAAAACTGAATAAGAAAAAAAAAACCTAATTCAAAAAATAGGGCTGGACACAGTAGCTTATGCTTATTATCTCAGCACTCTGAGAGGCTGAGGCAGGAAAATTACCTGAGACAGGGAGTTTAAGACTAGTCTGGGCAAAATAATGGGACCGCATCTCTACAAAAACAAAAAATTAGCTAGACATGGCAGGACTTTATATAGTCTCTGCTCCTCACAAGCCTGAAGATTACTTGAGCTCAGAATTTCAAGGCTGTAATCAGCTATTATCAGGCCATTGCATTCCAGTCTGGACAACAGAGTGAGACCTTATTGCAAAGGTCTCACTCTTTTATGCAAAAAATAAAAATAAAAATAAAAAAAGCTAAAGACTTTATCAGACACCTCAGCAAAGAATACACAGACAGGAAATAAGCATATGAAAAGATGTTCCATATCATATGTCATCAGAGAAATGCAAATTAAAACAGCCATGAGATACCACGACGCACCTATTAGAGTTGCCAAAATCCAGAACACAGTCAACACCAAATGCTGGTGTAGATGTGGAGTAACAAGAAGTCTCCTTCATTGCTGGTGGGAATGCAAAATGGTACAGCCACTTTGCAAGACAGTTGGGTAGTTTCTTACAAAACTGAACCTACTCTTGCTATAAGATCCATCAGTTGTACTCCTTGGTATTTACCTAAAAGAGTGGAAAACTTATTGAAATTGCACACAGATGCTTATAGTAGCTTTATTCATTATTGTCAAAACTTGGAAGCAATCATGATGTCTTTCAGTAGATGAAAGGGAAAATTGCGGTACATATAGTCAATGAAACATTATTTAGTGCTAAAAAGAAATTAGCTATTGATCCATGGAAAGACATGGAGGAAACTTAACTGTATATTACTAAGTAAAGGAGATAATCTGAAACAGTTACATATTATATGATTTCACCTATAGGACATTTTGAAAATGAAAAAACTATGGAGATAGTAAAACATCAATGTTACCAGAGGTGAGGGAGAGAAAGGAATGAACAGCTGGAGCACAGAGAGTTTTTAGGGCAGTGAAGCTAAAATGTTTGGTACTATCATGGTAAATATATGTCATTATATGTCTGTCCAAACCCAAAGAAAGTTCAACACCAAGATTGAACCCTTAGGTAAACTGTGGACATTGGGTGATAATGATGTGTCAGTGTAGGTTTATCAATTGTAACAAAACTACCACTACCACTGTTGGTAATGGGGGAGGTGATGCATATGTGGTGGCAAAAGATATATGGGAAATCTTTATACTTTCTGCAATTTTGCTGTGAACCTAAAACTGCCCTAAGAATAAAATTTATATGAAATTTTAAAATATCATACAGTAAAAAAGCAAGTACCTCCATAATTTTGTGTTCAATTATAGGAGTTTTATCGATGAGATAACTTAAAACTTGAGTATTTTTTAATTAAATATCCATGAAATTTGAAGAAATCCTCTACTGTGTATTTGTTTTTAACTCTTAGGTCAGATGTTGCCATTTTGTATAATGATCGTTCTGTCCTTGAGAATCACCATGTGAGTGCAGCTTATCGACTTATGCAAGAAGAGGAAATGAATATCTTGGTAAATGTATCCAAAGATGATTGGAGGTGAGTTTCAGAGGAAACTTAGAGGAAATTTTATTTCAGGAAAAGAATAAAATATATGATTAAAAGTAAAGAAAACAGGTGAAAGTCAATGCCTTCCCCATACTACAAACTCAATTACTGTTGACTGGATGACTCTGAGAAAGATTAGTACCTAGAAGACTGTTCAGGAGCCAGACTCTGGTAGGTGGACCTAAAATTATTTCCAAGTCAACTCAATATTCATGTGCATAGATAAGACCACATACCACACAGCAAATATTTTAAGGTACATAATTATACAATCTCTGGAATGGAGTTCTGCTCAATTTGTACCAATATGTGGTCTTACATAAATTCAAATTTTCAGCATCATACAAAATTTTTCATATATATATTTTTATCTTTCTATATGTAGAGTTCAGTTTTTTTAAATTCAAACATTTTGGGAAAAATACAAATATACCAAAATGACACAAGTGTAGAGGGAACCCTTACATGTCTTTCCAAAGCATCTGTTTGCTTTAAAAAATTACATGTTATGGTGATACTTGTTGCCATGTAAGGAAAAATAACAAGATGCTTCCCTATCACTCTGCGTAACCTTTTCTCCTTTCTTCTTGATCCTTGGGTTATCATCCTCTTCACTTCACTATAGGGTTACCAGATTTAGCAAATAAAACAAAAGTCGTCAATCAATTGAATTTCAGATAAGCATAGAATCTTTTTAGTGTATGTCCCTAATATTCTATGAGATAAAATAATGCTAAGGAAAAAAAAAAAAAGCCCGTGTTTATCTTTAACAAAGATCTTGTTAAAAGTCAGTTAATGAACTGGAAAGGGTTTCAAATGTAAATATCAAAGGGTTTTTTTTGTCTTTCAATTTTTGTTTTTAAAATCAAGGTAAAAAGAAGAATTCAAAAAAGAAAACTGATAAGAGCCACCATTTAAACATAAAAACAAAACATAAAAGATAAAATGGGGTTTCAAATAAGCCTTAATTTCTCATGACTACTTCTCCAAATTTTCAAAGCTCTCTGGTTTTTGCAAGACCAATTTCAACATGTGGGCTCATTTTTCAACTGTAGAAAATGCTATGGGGGGTGGGGGGAGGTGGCACTTTGTTTTGAGGACCCAATTCATCCCTTTCATTTTACAGTTGACCCTTGAACAACGTGGAGTTTAAGGATGCTGAGCCTCTACTCAGTCAAAAATCCACATATAACTTTTGACTTCTCAAAGACTTGACTACTGATAGCCTACTGTTGACTGGAAGCCTTATCAAGAGCATTAACAGTTGATCAACATGTTTTTTGGTGTTATATGTATTATATACTATATTCTGACAATAATGTAAGCTAGAGAAAAGAAAATGCTATTAAAATTATAAGGAAAAGAAAACATATTTACTATTTATTAGGTGCAAGTGGATCATCCTCCTTTAGGAAAGGTCTTCATGTCCATCATCCTCACACTGAACAGGCTGAGGAGGAAGAGGAAGAGGAAGGGCTGGTATTGCTATCTCACAGGTGGCAGAGTCAGAAGAAAATCTGCATAGAAGTGGACCCGTGTAATTCAAGCCTGTGTTGTTCAAGTGACAACTGTATTCTGCAGGAAACAGTAGTCCAAGAGGATTTACAGTTTAGGAATGTCAGGATCTAATTTTAAAAGGATTTTAAAGTGACTATTACTGAGCTATGTGTAGACTAGATGGGCAAAGGTAGAAATAGAAAGACAAGTTTTGAGATATTTCCTAAAATCCAAGAGAAAAATTGTTTACATCTAGAGCATTAGGGTTTTTAAAATCAATGATTATCATTTCCAGAGTAATATTTATAATATTAATTTTTGGTCAGATTCAGTGGCTCAGCCTGTAGTCCCAGCACTTTGGGAGGCTGAGGCAAGTCAATTGCCTGAGCCCGCAGGTTGGAGACCAGCCCAGGCAACTTGGTGAGACCTTGTCGCTACAATAAGTCAAAAAATTAGCCGGGTGCGGTAGTGCACATCTGTAGTTACGCCTACTTGGAAGGCTGAGGCGGAAGGATTGCTGGAGCCCGGCAGGTCGATGCTGGGTTGGCCATGAGTGTGCCACGGCACTATAGCCTGGGAGACAGAGACTCCAACTCAATATATATGAAATATATAAAATATTAATTTTGTTCTTTCTTTGAATGAAACATTTTCTTTCTCAAAATTGACTTTGTTCCTATTTCAATACATATTATTTCTTATTTTATTTTGCTCTTTACCACTTTTAGCATTTTATTCTAATAATTTATTGCTGTAATATTTTTAAAATCTCTGGGAACTTCAGAGTCATCTTAACTGAATGTTTGAATAGAATTGCTTAATAAATACTATGCATATCATATAGATTGTATAATTTACTAGATCAAACACTTTCAAAAAATCTACTATATCCTTGGTAACATTTTACTAAGAATTATAAAATGGATATCTTCTGTAGGTTTTCTGTTTGCTTATCTCTGTTTATTTTTTAGAGTGCCTTAGTAAGAATAAATGCAATAATTTAAAAGGTTTAGTAAGATGATTTTATAAAATTAGTAACATTTTCCTTGTACACTATATTGCCCGTATTATTGATATTATTAGTTGATTGTTGATAATATCTAGCATTTACTGATAAACTAAGTGCTAAGCACAAAATATGTATTAAATTCTATAGATTTCATAAAGCTCTAGTCTCATTTTTCTTAGTTAACTTTTTTAAGTCACTATTCTAATATAGATGTTGTTATAATTTCAGAGAAGCCATGTAATTGAAAATAATTTTATTCACTGCTTTTAATGGCTTCTTTTCTCTTAATAGTTGAATAAAAGTATTGTAAGCAAGCTATTCAATATTATAAACAGTAAGCAAAGGATTAGTTTTCATGGTTCCCATCTAAAAAACAAATTAAGCACTTACCATTTTCAACAAAAACTTCCAATATGTTTTTTAAATTATCTGATCAGATCAGATCATATTTAGATAAAATATCTTTGACATAAGATCATAATTCGAGTGTCCTTCTCACCTTTCATTTAGCTTATCCTACTGGCCATATCACACAATGAAAATAAAATATTGTTTCTGTACAAGAGATTTTTTTTTAGCTTACCTGTACATAGCAAACAAGTGATTGTGGAACATGCCAGCTTTTGGTGGGGTGATTTATTTTCTAAGTGTGAGGATGAGTGATTTGTGCATAAGGTTTGTGATACGGTTACCATAGTCACAGCATTTTGCTTAAAGATTTCAGTATAACAATGACTCTGCCTATGTTACATATGGTCAGGCTCCAAAAACTTAAACAGAAAATTCACACTCCATCATCTTGGTTTTTCTGGGGTTCTCACGTGGAAGGTTGGAGTGGTCCAAGGTTGAATCTTATGTTTGCTGGGTGAGTCAATCTCCTCTGGTGGGAAATATTAATACCCTCTCAATGGGTAGTTATGAGGATTAAATGTCTTCATTTACATACAAAGCAACTAACTGCTAAAATGTTCTAATTACTCTGTGTGTGCGTGTATGTATGTGAGTGTATGAAAACATTTAATCCTCATAGTTCAGTGCCTGGACTGAATTAATACTAAATATATGTACTAGTTTTAGTAGTCGTTTTATTTTTGAAACATACAAAATGAAAAAGTAACAGAAAGAATCTTGAGAACCCATCCTCTTCTTATTTGTATCTCTTCCCTGAGACATTATACCTCTCAGCTTTGTTGGCCCTATGGGTTTAGGATAGTCTCATGACCCACTGGGCTGCTGGGTTACTTTTTTCCTCCCAAAACATTCAGCTACTGTATTTAGAATAGGATTTTCTTGAAAATAGCTAAGGATCCTTTCCGATAAAAAAGACAATATTTAGGAATGATGGGTGGAGGAGAGTTGTGGAGGTAAAGAGAAAGCATTAGTTCCTCCGGGAAGTGTTATTAATAACATCTTTCGCAGATCACGCTGCTGGTAACTTCTTAAATCTGTGAAAGTTAAAGGATAAAATAATGTTAGACTCTTGTGAGCACTTTCACACTTAAAACATAGCATCTTTTTGTGTTCCTATCCATTAAGAACAAAAAAATCTGATGAGTGATATTTAAGGAAATGTTTGACTTTAGAACAATAAAGGATCAAATGAACATTTCTCTTTTGATGGTTCTACAGGGACCTTCGGAACCTAGTGATTGAAATGGTTTTATCTACAGACATGTCAGGTCACTTCCAGCAAATTAAAAACATAAGAAACAGTTTGCAGCAGCCTGAAGGGTAGGTTATTTTCTTTTGCCATTTAAAAATTCTGTGGACTTTGATTCAGAAATACACTAATTGGCTACTTTGGCTTGATAATATAAGCATGTCCTTGGTTTGACAGGATTGACAGAGCCAAAACCATGTCCCTGATTCTTCACGCAGCAGATATCAGTCACCCAGCCAAATCCTGGAAGCTGCACTACCGGTGGACCATGGCTCTGATGGAGGAGTTTTTCCTACAGGTGCCCCTTTCACACTCCGTGCAAATGTTTCTGGAAATAGAGACTGTGCATATGAGCATACACTTTTTCTGTACAGAATCCAAGGCTTATGATTTACTATTATCAACTGACCACAATATACTATTGTTTTGGCAGAAGTTATTAATATTTCAGATAATGTATTAAATAATTCTATGTAGTGTAAATACATGTTTTTAACGAGAGTGAAGTCTTAGATCCAAGATGCCACTCTCAGGGAAAGAAAGAAATAGATAAAAATTGTTATCTGCTGTTAAGAGGTAAGTGCTAGAACAGTGACAGCAAATCACTTTCATAATAAAAGGGGAAGGGGGAAGATGTATAACACTCCTGCATAAATCTTGTTGGTCAGAATTTAGTCATATGTGCATAACTGAAATGGAGGCTGAGAAACACAATTTTTAGCTAGATAGACATAGGCCTAACAACAACAAAATCTACTGCTATATGAAAAAATAAGACTGGATATGGGAAGTGGCCAGTGTTTTCTGCCACAAGCACATATTTGTATTTTTTTTTCTCTATAGTGACCCTGTTCTGCCCCACCTCCACCCCACCCAAGCTAGCAGGCTACAATACAATCGTGGTGCTAACCACTCAGAATTAGCATCAAATTCTACAAATTAAGGGCTCAGTCTTCCACAAGATTGATTCTACTATAGATGTCAGCCACAAGTGGGGCCACAGTACATCAGCATTTCTGACAGTTATACATTCAGGGGTTCCCACAACCTTCCTTAGGTTTGATAATTTTCTAGAATGACTCACAAACTGTACTTATAATTACAGTTTTATTATAAAGGATACAACCCAGGAAAACATGAAGAGGTGCATAGGGAAAGATTTGAGAGGGTCCTAGACAAGGAGCTTCTATGCCCCCTCCAGGTGGAGTTAGAGAGAGTCACTCTTCTGCTTTACCAGAGTATGTATCAGGTTGTCATTACATTGGCACAGTTGAGTACATCATTGACCATGTATTAAACACAATTCCAGCCCTCCTCTCCTCCTAGGGGATAAAGCTAGCTCAAACTTTCAACTTGCTAATCTTGTAGTTGGTCTTACTGGTGACCAGCCCCCATCCTGAAGCTATCAAAGGTGGCAGCCGAGAGTCACCTTATTAGCAAAATTAAGTCTCCTATCACTCAGGAAATTCCATAGGTTTTTGAAGCTCTGTGCCAAAAACTGGGAATGAAGACCAGATATATTCTTTATTAATCACAATTCCACTCAGAGAAGCATTGTATTTCTGTATTTTCAGATTATTTAATTTCTCATTATTGTTCTTTATTTTGAATGTTTATTTATTAATTTTATTTCTGTTCTGAAGACATAAACACCAAATATATTACTATATTTGGATAACTATGGTTTCTGTCTCCCATTGTCAATGGATACAATATATGGTTTCAATGTTAAATAGCATTTTGTATTCCTGAGAAAGTTACTGATTAGTATCTTTCAAAATCAAATGTTTTTGATGTAAAAATAGTTTTGAAAAAATACTTTAGGCTGGGCATGGTGGCTCCTGCCTGTAATTCCAGCACTTTGGGAAGCAGAAATGAGAGGACTGCCTGAGCACAGGGATTTGTGACCAGCCTGGGTAACGTAGTGAGATCTTTTCTCTACAATAAGTCAAAAAAATTATCCAGGAGTGGTGGTGCATGCCTGAGCTCCACCTACCTGGAAGGCTAAGGCAGAAGGATGGCCTGAGCCCAGCAGGTTGAGGCTGTAGGCCATGATCATGCCACTGCATTCCATCTGGGCAACAGAGTGAGACTCTGATACAAAAACAAAACAAAACTTTAATACTTCAATATATTGTTTGTTAAAAATAGACTAAATGAAAAACCTATCAAATTTTAAAGGCCAGCTGCCTACTATGGCCAATTAAAATTATTATTTAATATATGCAACCAATCAATAGCCAGAAAATGATAAATCTAAAGAAGGTTGAGAGATCTTTAAGCATATTTCTGTCACATTAGAGATAAAAAAAAAACCCAGAAATGTGAACATATAAAATGATTTCTGCCGGATTATGAAAACAATTTAAATATTTTAAATTACATGAGCATAAAAGCACAGCATATGCAAATATATTGACTGTAACTAAAGCAGTGCTTATGGGAAATTTTGTGGCTTTACATACTTATATAAGAAAAGAATAAAGGTTTCAAATCAGTTATCTGTGTTTCACCTTAAGAAGCTAGGAGAAGTTAAGAAAACAATCAAAATGAGTTGATGGAAGGAGGTAATAAATATAAAAGCAGAAATCAGTAAACTAGAACAAAGACAATAACAAAAATTAATAAAGACAGCAGTTGGTTCTGTAAGAAAGTAATAAAATTACTTGCTGAATCAAAAAGGGAAAAATTTGCAAAAAAAAGGGAAGATACCAGTATAGATCCCACATACATCAAAAGGATAAAAAATATGATGAGCAAATATCAACAAAATTGACAACTTAGATGAAATTGTCAAATTTTTGAAAGATATAAAATATCAAAACAGACATCAGAAAAAATTATGGTCTGAATGTCTACATATGTGTTTTTAAAAATTGAATTTATTATTTAACTTTTTAATGATAACTCCAGGCTTAGATGAATTCAGTTCTTTTTTTTTTCAGTTCTTGATTATGATTTCAATTCTCAATACTCAATTCAATTAAGAGATGGTGAATTCTCTCAAACATTTTAGGAAGAAATAATGTCAGTTTCCCATAAATTCTTTCATGACATAGAAGAAGGAAAATTGACAGCATAGTCTTTGACAGTACCTGACAAAGACTTTTCAAGAAAAGAAAATTATACATTCATATCTGTCATGGAACTAGATGGAAGATTTTTTAAATATTAGCAAATCAAAATCAGCAATATAGTAAAAGAGTACATATCATGATTTGAGTTGGGTTAATATTCAAAAATTAAGATAATTCATCATAGTAAAAGAAATGAGAAAAAACTTACATTATCAACTCAATAGATATACAAATCACATTTAACAAACTTCAACAGAGATTAATTATAAAATCTCTAAGCAAACTAGAAACTGGAGACCTCTCTCAACCTGGTAGAGTGTGTAGCTAGTGTAATGCTTCATGGTAAAACATTGAATATTTTTATTTTTATTTTATTTTATTTTTTTTGAGTTGGAGTCTCACTCTGTCTCCCAGACTGGAGTGTAGTGGCCGCTCCCGGCCACCGCAGCCTCGACCTGCTGGGCTCCGGCGATCCTTCTGCCTCAGCCTTCCAAGTAGCCGGAATTACAGGCACGTACTACCATGCCCGGCTGATTTTTTTATTTATTGTAAAGATGAGGTCTCGAACCCACGGTCTCAGGCAATCCACTCACCTCAGCCTCCCAAAGGTGCGGGATTACAGGCTGAGCCACCGAGCCCGGCTTGAATATTTTTATACTAACATCAACATATCTTATCTTACCGCTTCTATTCAGCGTTGCATTCAAAGGTCTAGCCAGTGCGGTTAGGTAATAAAAGCAAATATACTATAGATTGGATAAAAATAAATAAAGCGATTGTTATTTGCAGAAACATGAGCATCTATATAGAAAACTTAAGGGATCTACAAAAAGCCACTAGACCTAATAAATGTATTGATTGGAGTGGTAAGATCAATTGTATTTCTATGTATAAACTGAAAGCAATTTGAAAACAAAATTTTAAAAACACTATCATGTATAATAGCATACAATAGAATATTTGGGGAATAGATTTAATTAAATGCATACAACACCTCCATACTTGAAAAATACAAAATATTCTTGAGAGAAAGATGTTAAATATCTATATAAATGGAGAGATATATCCTACTAATGATTGCAAGATTCAATATTGCTAAGATGTCAGTTCTTTCAAAATTGATTAATACATTTAAAATGGTCATTACCAAAAATTGTTACAGGCTTCTTTATAGCAGTTAAAATACTGACTTTAAAATCTATATGGAAATATGAGTCTAAAATAGCCCAAACAGGCCAGGCACAGTGGCTCTTGCCTATAATCCTAGCACTTTGAAACGCTGAGGCAGGATGATTCCTTGAGCCCACACATTAAAGACGAATCTGGGCAACATAGTGAGGCCTGATCTAACAATAAAAAATAAAAATTAGCTGGGCATGGTGGTGCACACCTGTAGTCCCAGCTACTTAGGAGGTTGAGACAGAAGGATGACCTGAGCCCAGGAAATCGAGACTGTAGTGAGCTGTGATTGTGCCACTGGATTTCAGCATAGGAGACAGAATGACCCTAACTCTAGATAAATAAAAATAAAATAGGTAAAACAATTTTGCAAAAGACTAAGGAAGTTGGAGAACTTATACTTTCCTTGTGATGTGACTTAGTAATCAAGACTGTTATTGGCACAGGACAGAGGGATTGGTAAACAGATCAGTAAAGCAGCAAATTCAGAAGTAGATTCATACATGTGTGGTCATTTGATCTTCTACAAAGTCACCAGAACAACTAAATGGGGAAACAAAAGAATTTCCACACATGGAAATGGAACAAAAATTATTAACTACTACATAGGGAGGAAAGGAAACCTGTCCCCTACCTTCACCTAACACAAAAATTAATTCAATCTGGACCATGGGCTTAACACTAAACCTAAAACTGTTCAGAATTCATCATAGCCCTCACATGCAGTTTAAACATAAACATTTTGTGTTTCCTGTTTAAGAAAGTATTTCATGTATATTGGTCAAGCATAAGAAGCCTAATCATGCAAAGTAGAGAGATTATTGAACTTGACTTCAGAAAACCTAAGTGTGAGCCCTAGTTTGTTTTTTTTTTAATCCAGCAGTGAGTGATGAGTCTTCACCTTCTTACCTATACTCATTCTTTCTTACCTATTCCCATTCTTCCTCCCCCACAAGATGGTTGTGAAGAACAAAATGATAGAATAAATGTAAGAGAATAAATATATATGAAGAATAAAATGATAGAATAAAAGTATTTATGT